CATGTTTAATTCATCTTCGGCGACATTTACAATTGACAGTGTATTAATAATCTGAGCTTCCTTTAACATTTCAGTTATAAGATCATTATCAATATTCTGCAAACTTTTTATTGATATACTATCAACTGTTGAAATTATACTATTTGTATCAAACACATTGTCATTGTTTTTTTTAAAGATCCTCGTTGATTAAATAAATTTTTTAAAAAAATTTTAGTTTAAAATAATATTTGGATTAACCTGATCTTTCTCTCATTACATTATTAAGTCATTTCTTCATTAATTTCTAACATCTCTTTCATCTTTGTATTCACTATATATGGATTATCAGTAGAATCTTGTAATACATCATTTATATTTTCAACATAATAAGTTGTATCTATGAATTTCCATTTATCCTTTTTGATGAAAGAGAAAATTTGGGAAAGATAAATGAAAAATTATGATTTTTATAAAATACGATTATTAATATAACTTACTCTATTATCAAGATCTAGAAGATTTATGTTATCTTTATTTTGAAAAACTTGTTTAGAATTATTCGTCTCGAGCGATATATCCGACTCTGTATTCGGTTAAAACATTATTATCAAATTTTTTTCGCGTATTATCTTTATTGTCATACCTGTATTTAGCGTTATATATTTGGGACATAAGTATAAAAATTGCCGCGTATTTTCTGCAAGTTTACCAGTTTCAGATGGATTTGATTTTAACATTTTTTCTAGTCGTTTTCGATTTTCAAATTGATATAATACAGTTTCTTCGATTGCTTTCTGCAGAACGATCGAAACAATTTTATTTATGGCGGTAAAAGAATAATCGTTTTCTCATATTATAAGCAATTTACTTTTACTTTATCGTTCATCGTGTTTATAATATCATCAAGAATTTCCACTTCTAAAATTTCCTTTCGTATACGCTCATCTTCGGCATCAATGTTTGAAATGTTAATGTCAGCGTTCCATTCATTTTCGAACGATTCTTCATTGTTATGTAATAATTTTAATTACGTACAATTTGAAAATACTAATATGTTCAGCAGAAGTAGCATCAAATCGAATACTTAAAGAATTATCTTAGGTTATCTTAGATAGTTTACGTAAGTATATACAACTATATGTATATGAATAATAACTTTGAGACATACATAAAATTTTCTCAATATGTCAGCATTTATTCGTTTTTTTTTTTATATCGTCACCCGAGTTAGGTAACACAAAAGTACCTTTGTTTGCCTTCCACGAAATTTCTGTGTTTTCTATTTGATCCTCCACAGTCGAGAGATCGGAACAATCCTTTGTAATTGAGCTCATAGATAATTCCATTGTAAGAAGAAGGTGATCGGATCTTGGAGATTCCATCGATGATGTTCGACTTAAATCTTCCAAGGTTTCGTCACATTGCAATACAGAATTAAGCAGAAATTGATTTTCAATAGTATTATCCTCAAGAGCATCAGCAGAATAGTTTTGTTTCGATTCAGTTTCAATCGAAACGAGCGAATTACCTCGTCGTTCGACACTAGAGTTAACCAAAGAGGTGCGCGATGATATATTATTATTGACTTTACGACGCGATCGTGATTGCATTTTACACTCTTCTTCGTCACTGCTACCCTCCGTATATAATTCTTCACCTGATATCCATAATTCTTCTTCTTCCTATGGAGACGTTGAAATTTGATTCAATCAATGATCATCTATTCCCCATATTATAAGCATTAAACAGGAACTTCGTAGAATTTGTTACTTCACCTCCTTTTTAATTTTAGCGAGTTGAGATTGTAGCACAGTTTTCATTGACTGTTCCTGCAATTTTGTATTGCTTGTTTCTTTCTCAGCCATCCTATCACTGAATATGTCATAACGTTATACAAATAATTTTATGCAAATATTGCATAGGAATTGAAAAATACATTTAGTATCGAAAAGATTATTTACGAGTAAGATATTCAAAGTATTAAGACATGAAATGATCATGATAGTTTTCGATAAAATTAGCCTAAAATTACCATTGTTTTCATCATTTTTCGAAACAAAATTACTAGAAACCGAATTGAATGCGTTTACAGAATTTTGCAAATTTAATTACAAATTGAAATTAATTGCAAGATGCACATACGATGTGACACGTCCTTGAACTAGGAAAATCTGGAACGAGGATGAAACAGGTCAAGGTTACATATAACAACAAATGCAAACGATGTCTAAATTCAGAATTATTAAAAGTTGCTATGATTTGAAATTTATCACGAAAGTAATCTTTTTGATAACTTATCAATGTTATCATGTACCATATTTCGCACTTGACTTTCAGTTAATATCAGTTTTTGTTTATTTTTATTCGTTTACTTGTCTTCTTAATGTTATAAAAATTAAGAATACCTTTTCAGTCAAACGTGTCATTACATGTATTATAAATTTATTAAATGTGAATCTACGTGGATAGATTAATTAGTTTGCAGGTATATTCTTTTTAAAATATTAATTCGAAAACGTTTTTTTAATGTATAATCACGAATTTTATTGATGAAGTCTCGAAATATTACCTCGATCTCTCCGGGCTCACGTTTCTTCGAATCAAGTACGGTGAGCAAAAACGAAATTCACGTGGTGATTTTCTGTATAATTCTCGATTGTGCAATGACTTTCAATAACGACAGGTGTTATCAAGCTGCATCTTGTAGATTTAATTTATGCAATTAATATTTTTTAATTTTGAAATGTTTATTTACAACATTATTGAATTTCTTATTACGTTGTGTTTATTAGGTATGTGACGTTTTATTATTCTATTCTGTCGCAAATCGATTGGTAATTAGAACATGTTTTAATGTTTCTTTGGGTTTTTTTGTTGTGCTATATTAGTAAAGTAAGTACTTGAAAGCTATCCGAGACACTGGCTTTGAAAACGCGACAGTAGCGGCGCCTATGGCCAGATACAGCTCGATATATAAATAAACGCATTAATTTGCTTGCATAATATATCATATGCTTTGTTACTGTATTTGTAATCTCATATTTTCAATATAATATTCATAATCTAATTAAAAAGGGAAGAGGAAAAATGAGATACTTATTTCCTAAAAATCTTTTTCAAATAATTTTAAAATATCAAAAGCTGACAAATAAAATATCACTTTATATTTAACAATAATAATCCTTATTGTATGAATATCACATAATACTAATGTTGTTTACAAAATAAAATTTAAAAAAAAATCACAATCGTTATGAAGTTGCAGGTTTAATACAAGTAGGATCCATGTACGTAATATCTTTTGGGAAATGATCCATGATAATAAATCTTTTTTCGCTGGGTTCATTTAGATTGTCCAAAAATCCAAACCAGTAAATTACAAGTCCTGGACCAAATCTGTTCCAGTAGCTTAAAAATTGTTCTTTGATATACTTTTGATGTATTTCTGTATTTCCAAATCTTGCCTTAGATTCTATCCAATTAATCACAAAGCCATTTACTGCAATTGGTACTTCAAGTTTGAAATCTGGTGTTTTGTCATATCCTCTTGATCTTAAGTGTTCCTCATTGCGGAATGCAAGATTTCGTTCTATTAAGTAGTTTTGTAACTTTAACTCATATTCTTGACCTACAGAACTATAAATTTATTTTTTATAACAATATGTAAACAACTGACTGATTTACTTAATGATATAACACTTACGTTCCAACAGCATCTGATATAGGTCCATATAAATTGTCATATAATATACACTGTAAAATGTTATCCAATTATTATATATTATATTTATTTTTTAACTTATTAATAAATTTTGAGTTTATTACCAAATATACTTCATACGCAAGATCCTTGTCTTGTATGAGAGTAGTATCTTTGAATAATTTGCTAACTTCATTTCGGGAAACTAAAAGTATATTGTACTTTATAATTCA